CAAATAGGAACTTTACCCAGTGTTAAATACACATCCGCTCAGAAAGCATTCTTCCAAGGGGAGGGACAAAGAGGACAACCTATAGGGTGGTTCCCGAGGAAATGCAACATAACCTGGCAGGTTCCCTTTGCTGTGGCTGATGAATCCATATTACCATGGCTTCTAAAGTGGGGGAGTGAGGAGGGAGCGTTGGACCCCATAGCTCTAGCAGCATCAGAGTTGGGGAAGTGGGATGTAGTCAGTTGCCATCTGAGCAATGACCTCGCTCTCGATACATTCCTCTCCAAACTGCACTGTGGGCTTTCTTTTACTGTGCTCCAGAAACTTCATCCTGGAAGCTCAGTCCAGCCCTAGAATTCACATGTTGGAAGTATTCTACTTTTCGGTGGCCTCTCCTTCTGATTGGACGGCTCCTTCCAGAACTTCCATTTAAGGAGGGTGCCCAGGAGAGCTTATTCCATTCCTGTCCAAGGTGTCATTCAGACTTTCATTCTTCCCCACGAACTTCCTCTTATGTATTGTCTTCCCCCAGTGGTAAGCTCTTTGGGGGCAGAGTGTGTCTGTTTGTATCTGTATTCTCATCATTTAGCACAATAGCAATTTTTGTCCATTGACTTGTTGATAGACCACTGAAGCTCTGGAATGCTCTACTTGGAAGTCTAGTTTCTGCCATGCAGCATGCCATACAAACATCTGGACTGGAGGGGGACATGCACATAGGAACAACTGTACCCAAGTGGGTAATGAGAAAGACCTTGGGCATAGGTTCATAGCACATACTCTCTATTCCACCAAAAGGAAGAAATGGGGGAACCCCAGATGTAAAAGGCACGATTATCAACCCAACCCCTCACTCTATTCAATAGCTTTGGGATCTGGAGAAACACTAAATTCTGCCAAATGGTTAGAGTATTATTCAGACAGGTAAGGGTGACTGAGTTGGGGACAAAAACAATATACACATCATTAACTTATCTAGCACTATTAGGAAATTGTGAATCTTACAACCAGGGCAATGGGTAGTAGCCTCCGGGCTGAGACTGCCAGAGTAGCCCATATTTACACCTCCCCCCCCCACCAGTAGGTATCACATGGAATGAATGCTAGCTTCTCAAGATGAGGTTTGCACCTTATCAGTGAAATGTTGATTCCATATTAACCAAAATAGGAAAATTGAGAGGATGAATACAATGTAGGAAAATATAGCTACCTTCCATGTAGTGGCCCTTGTAGACAAGGGACTAGCTCCTTTGGATATCACAGATTAAGGTCCTGGCAGGTTGAGACATATTGGGAAGTTATCTTTGAAGCCTTGCAGGTGATTGATTATAGGAGTTTTAGCAATGATGACCATGGGCTGGGCATGTATTTTCTCTGCCTTATGGGATCAGTACCTTTAATTGGGACAGATTACAGTAATGATAGTCTGTGAGATGGCTACTCTTGGCCAAGACCAAGCAAGGGTGGACCTGGGGTTTGGCTAGATTCCCCCACCTCCATGGACCCCAGCAAGTCCCAGGTATACAGAAAATCAGGATAAGCTTAGAAGGAATTCAATTACGTAGAAAACAGGGTTGTCAAATGGGGGTGCGGGGTGGGGAAGTTTAGAATTACACAGCCCCAAGCTGTTTTTGACAACTGATGTCACATCCCACATTTGGGTTATAATATCAGCCTTTGCTCTTCAGATCTGATGAGGCATTCACCAATGACATGTTCTTTTGAATTTATACTTGTAATAGCTTGCTAGTATTTACATTGAATTGACATGTTCCCTTGTGAACAAAAAGATCCTATTACAATTGATACAAGACTTCTAAAGCAAATTACCTGAAGACCTGTATCACTCAATCTATCAGCAGTGAGTCATCCATTTTGCAGAGCAAATTGTAAGGGAAACTATGAGACTTTATGGTCAACAGCATTCTCACTGCCCATACCACCTGGAGTCTGTTAGGAGCAGTATAATGGCAAAATGCAAACCTTAACAATAGGAAAGTTAAATTTGTGCTAAGGCTGGACTTCAGTGGACTTCTTACATGCACACAGGGAATGATGGGAATAGAAAGTATGGCCTGACTCCACATAAGACTCTCAAGACTGGCCTTATATGAACATCTGCTACACCTTCAGTTACTGATACCAAAAAGATTTCCAATTATGAGACGACACCCATGTGCTAATTATGTTCACTAGCAGTTATCATTAACTTCTGCGTTATGACCTCCTCTATTGATGGGGTGCTTATGTTTGGGTGCTCGTACTTGGACCCCAATTTCTCCCTAGCCTCAGAAACACTGTCTCTGACAATTTCTCCCCAGCCCAAGCACACTGTGCCTAACAATTACTCATGAGTGGGCCCCAGCAAGCCCCTTATCTCTCTCCTTGGTGCAGTTAACAAGCAGCACCTGAAGGAATTATTAGTTTGAACTGGCTTTGCACTGGGTCATAAAGACATTCTTACCCATTGGACTATCTATACTACTGCCCTACCTCATTATCTACATCCTGGACTCCTCATTATCTGTATTCTAGACTTAAGACATATGTATACTCCCTACATCTATCTTGTCAAACAAGACATTGATTGGTGGCAGACTGGACAACTCTCAGTTGTTCCTGACAGCTAGTTAACTTAGTGAAGTAGCAGGCCTAAAATCACACCTCCAGTGAACTCTGGGTAAAACGCCCGTGCAATAGATACAAGTGCATGTTTCTTTAAGAACTGACCACTCCTTAACCACTCCCTAATCCTGCCCTGAATCACCTAGTTAGCATATTTGGCCCATGTTTTATTGTATTTTATCCTATATAAACTTTAACTATACTCTTTTAAGATTGCAGGTTCCTTAAGAATCCTTGCCCGCTGAAAAGTGTAATGATAAACTTTTTGCAACTTGATTTAAAGATTTTTTGAGTTTGTGAATTCATTCCAGACTATCCATCTTGTACTGTTTTTTGAGGGGTCCCAACCTCTCAGACCTCATCAGTATCACCTGTCAAAACCTCCAATCAAGAAACTGAATCTAGACAAAGACTCAGCATGAAAACCGCTGGACATTGATTTCCCTACCTCTTGTCCTATACTGCCATCCCACATCAGACCAAGAAAAAGAGGGTCACATATGTACAAAAATATTTATAGCGCTTTTTGTGGTGGCAAAGAATTGGAAATTGAGGGGATATCCATCAATTGGGGAATGGCTGAACAAGTTGTCCTATATGAATGTAATGGGATACTATTGTACTATAAGAAATGATGAGCAGGCAGACTTCATAAAAACCTGGAAAGACTTGTATGGATTGATGCTAAGTGAAGTGAACAGAACCAGGAGAACATTATACACAGTAACAGCCACACTGTGCAATGACCAACTTTGATAGACTTAGTTCTTCTCAGCAATGCAAGGATCTAAGACATCTCCAAAAGTCTCATGATGGAAAATGCTATCCACATCCAAAGAACTATGGAGTTTGAATACAGATTGAAGCATACTATTCGCTTTTTTCTCCCCCTTCTGTTTTTTGTTTCTTCTTTCTTGTCGTTCCTCCTATTGGTTCTAATTCTTCTTTACAACATGACTAATGTGAAAATATGTTTAATAGGAATATATATATATGTAGAATCTATATCAGATTGCACGCTGTCTTGAGGAGGGAGGTGGGGATAGAGGGGGAGAAAATTTAAAACTCAAAAGCTTATGGAAGTGATTGTTGAAAACTAAAAATAATTAAAAAAAAAAAAAGAAAAAGAGGGTCAGTGGACACACCAGCCTATTTCCATTTCATTTGGAAACTTCTACTCCTACACCACAACCAAAAGTATAAGCTGGATCCTATTCCTCAGCTTTCTTGACTGTTGGGTTCCAGAGTGAGATGCTTGTCTCATCTAAGAAGTTGAGGATACTCTTTGCGTCTTGGTTTTTCCTTTCTTCCACAGGTCTCCAAGTGCACCAGAACTTTCTGTCACCCTAAGGTAGCAACTCCCTCTAGCTGACTAGGAGGTCAAGTACTAACTACCCCTGAAACTATTCAAGATAATTAACACCAAGTTGTTTGTTTTTGGTGGGGAGGAGAAAAGTGGAGGCAAAGAGAGAGAGAGTATCTTCTCCCTTACTTGAGTAACTCCGTCTTAGAACCTGGCCTCTATTTCAATTAAGAGAGTCATGTTTTCCTTTGTCTCAATTCCCTTAAGTCCACCTTACTTCTGTCCTTACTTTTGAACTGATTGAACAGATAGTCCTAGTTCTGGTCAATAATGAGAAGTTCTACATGGAAACCGAAATGCAAATCAGTCCACCTCCAAATCTAATAGAACAGAAGCCAGACATTGCTCCTAAAGGGTGTACTAGATTACTTCAAGACCCAAGAAGGAGTCTTCCTGTGGTTTCTGTCTTCTGTGGTCCTTAAAGTTCAAATGTGATTCTTTTACCATGACAGGTTCTAGTCTCAATTTAGTCACTCACTAACTCCCTGAATGACTTTAGGCAAGCTGCATAACCCTCCAGGGCCCCAGTTTCCTCAGTTGCAAAATAAGGAGGCTGGTCACCTATACCCATCAAATTAGTAAAGAGAAAGAAAGGGTGTAAAATGGAAAAAGGCAAAATTCAGTGGCATTTCCCAATCAGTATGATCAATTGATGGGGCCCAGGAAAATAGGCACACAAATTCACTACGCTGTTAGGGCTATGAACTGGTTGAACCATTTTGGGAAAGCAACATGGAATTATCCAACAAAAGTTACAAAAACATTCACACATTTTGACCCAGAAAAAGGGCTTAATAGCCAAAAGAAATTTGTGACAGGAAAAAAAAATCTTTCTCAACAAAAATATCCCTAAACAAACTGAAAACAAACTATGCCAACAGCTGAAGAACGGCTGAACAAATTATGCTAGATAAATGTAATGGAATGTGATGCTCTAAGCAATGAAAAATATGAAGGATCCCAAATATTGCAGGAAGACACATGCAGTGGACAAAGTAGGACTAAAAGAACACACTGATTACAAATATGTAATTAAAGATGACAACAGCAACAAAATTCATGTTAAATACAAAAGACAATATTGATACAACCTTGTTAAGATTAATAGTTTCTTTTAACAATTGGTAATTAACATTGAATATCATTACATGTGCAATCATTTGCAATCCTTTTTTTGCACTGTTTTGTTCAGTAGTTTCTATTTGTTTTTAATCTCTCATTTTTTAAATATATTTGAATGCTCATGTTGGCAGAAATTGAAACAAAATTGATCAACCAAAAAAAAAAAAAGACCTGAAAACGCCAACCAAGAAACAAATGAGAAATTGGACTAGATAAGCTTTAAGGTCCCTTCCATGAGGTATTGTGGTATTTTGGGAAGAGGGGGTCTTGGTTTAAGAGAACCAGTTCAAATCCTAATCCTCAATTGCTATATTGTATTATATTTGGCAAGTCACTTCAACTTGGTTTGTTTCCTCATCTAGAAAATGGTGATCTATTTACTCTCGGTACTACCTAATCCATGATACTGAGAGAAATGCTTTGTTATCGTTCTACGTTGTATGAATACAAGCTACATTATTCCAGCCCTAAAATTCTATGATTTTGTTATTTTCAACAATTCCCCTGGAAGACTACTCCTAGTCCTTGTTTATTTTTTTTTGGGGGGGGGAGGGTGACAGTCCTGTATTCATCCATAAATCTGATTTAGATAAATACAATCCTTTTCCAAAGCTACTTTCTGGGTAAGAAGGGGACAAAACTCTAGGCCAGAAAGAGCTAGTTCAGCAGTCAACTGTGCCATTACGAAGACAGAGTAATGAAAATTTACATGCAGACACAAACTTTTCTGTTAGCTCTGTCACCCAAATCATTACTGTGTCAAGTAAACCAAATTGGGCACTCGGCTCAGTGGAATGGCCCTCCCACTCCCTCTTGTACCATAACAGGGAAGGGTAAGGGAAATCTCTGCACTCCTGCTAATTACCTTTCTTGGGCTCCTCAAGTGAGCTCCTTAGCTCTGGACTCCTCTAAAGACGAGCCAGGGGGCTCAGGACCAAGAACCCATGGCACTAAGCCCAGAAGTACCTATATACCACATAGAGACCATCTAACCCATGAAGCAGGGAACGAACTCAGGGAAGAACCAGAATAGAGAGCCTGACTCCATTTTCCTTGAGGGCAGGGAGAGCTTGTGGTGGGATGGCAATGGAGCTCACAGCAGTCGAGGTTATCTCATTAAATCTTCAGAATCTCTGAGATGTTAACTAATCCAATTTTCTATGCGACTGCTACAAGGATCCCCCAATTCCACCAACACTGTTCCCTACTGCATACCAGCATGGTACCTCATATCCAGAAGACTGTGACAATGCCCCATTTGGTCACAGTTCTACTTTAGCACATGGCAGCCCTCAGTAAAGACCTGTTCCTGGCATATTTATGGTCCAGGCTCTCCTCCACAGTCCCAGAATCATTCTCCAGTTGCTTCCTCCACATACACTGTGAGCTAGTAGCAATGTCTTCTTTGAATACTCTCTAAAACTCAAGACATGGTTGGTGCAGGTTTGCAGAGGGATGAACTCACTAAAAACTTATTCCACTGACTTAGAGAGGGGAAAGCTTTTCCCATTCGTTTATTGAAATTACTCTGAATCATTAATAAGCTATCTGACTGATCCACAATTCCTACCATACATAGGTAAGTAGCAATAATAATAGCAGCTTATATCTCAATAGTGTATAATAACATAGATTACCTAGTGTGATCCTCACCATAGCCCTATGAAGTAGGTGCTATCCTTAGACTTATTTTTATCATGTTACTTTATTATTTATGATGACACTCATTTTAAGATGAGGAAATCGAGGCTCAAACAAGTTGAGTGACTTGACCAGGGTCAAAAAACTAGTGTGAGTGGCAGGATTTAAATCCAGGTCTTCTCAACTCTTAAGTCCAGGGCTCTATCTACTATGCAATTCTGCCTCTCTCTAAATTTTCACAGTACATATGAGGACACAGTAACCTTGCTAAGGGCCACAAGACAGGATTTGACAACAGGTAGAAAGGAACATAAATGTCAGCTAGAAAAATTATGAGCCCAAGGTGGGGGTATAAAGATACATCCAAATAGGTGCCATGATATTGTGGCTGGATATCAGCCAACTAGACTGGTCCAACTTCTTTCTACACAAGCAACATGAAATATTAGGGAGGTAGGGAATTGAGGGATGAGAAAATTAAAAAGTCAAAATATACATCTGTTTCCTGCTATTCCCAGGCCTCCTGACCTTTGTCTGACACAAGTCACTCAGTAGCTGTGGTGAAATGTGGTACCAAAAAGTAAGGAGGTAAGAGGCTTGGGAGAGGAGAAGAGAAAGCAGAAGGCATAGAGGAGAAATCCCTGAAGACAGCAGCAGTTATTTGGTGCCTGAGTTTTGGCTAAAATTTGATCTTTAAAGCAATCACTGAGCAGGAGCTGGTGATGGGGGCTACTGGAGGTGTGACTTGGGAGAAAGGGATGGGAAGCTGTAGTGGTGTGAAAGAATGCTACAGAATGGGAGACGTTTTAGCTAGCCCCTTTGATATGTATGGCAAAGACATGATGGACCTAATGATAGAAACAATGAGAGGGGGAGAAATGTTGCCATGAGGATGAGAGGGGGAGGAAAGAAGCTATAGTCTTTTTCTTCCCAGGACTCATGGAGAACCATACCTGTTCCTCTTTTTTTCTTCTTTCACAATCAAAAGACGGAGGAAAAGAATGCGGCTCACAAGTGCTCAATTCTCCAGTTAACACAACCCAAAATGAGAATAAGGTAAGAAGAAAAGTAAATTTATGTTGACCCTGGGTAGGAAGCCAAATCTGGATGCTCCATATTCCATTATGATTTGACAGACTGAAGGTACATCTTACCCCTCAGTCTCTCTGTGGCTACTGAAATGGTATGGAAAGTTACCATCCATTCAGTGTTGATCACAGTAGTTAATTTTCCTTTACAAAATCTTTTGCACTCAATAACTGCTCAGAGTGAAGAAGGCTTTAGAAAAACATCTCCACCCAATCCTTAGGCTGGAGGGCCACCACCATGTAATTCACACTCCCTAGGAAGGGGGCGGGGATTGGAGGAGAGGAGAGTTCCTGTAAACATTTATTTTCCCCACTTGTTGAAAAGCAAAGGGAAGTCTAGGGTGAGATAGGGAGAGAGGGATAAGTAGTGGGAGGAAGGGGCCACTTTCAAGGTTTTTTTCAGATTGGCTACGTAATGTATTGCATCCTCCCCTTCCGTGAGGCCAAGGTTAAGTTACAGAGAACATCCTGAGGGCCCAGAAGAGGGGCCAAGGGGACAGTTAAGGCAAATGAGCTACACAGACGGGGTAAAAGTGACTGGTAGAATTAAGACGCTTCTGTCGGGACAGAAGAAAAACATTTTGATCCCTAAGACTGGGGGGGGGGTGTAGGAGTAGGGGGGAAGGTGGTGAGGATATGACACCTTTGGGACAACCACGCTTATGAGCCAAAGAAGTGGGCATAGGTGACGCAGAAGGGGAAACAAGACAGGAATGTGGAAAGTACTGGCCCCTGAGAGGATGCTTTCGTGCTCCCTCCCCGGGTCTCTTTGGAAGAATCCTGGGTAGACTGGGAGCCTTGTAGCACCTGCATGGCTCCCACCAAAACAAGCCCAGCTCAAGCATCCACTCCAAAGTATAATCGGAGTTGTTCCAAAAAGATGAAGGTGAGGACGGTATGGGGAACTAGCCGGATTCCAGCAGGTAAAAAGCCCTGAAGTGAGACAAGACAAGATAAAATTAGAGGGTGAGGTATTTTGGGAGGGAAAGGGAGGAGTAGAAGGGAGGGCAGGATGCTTAAGCCTGCAGAAAATTCCAGGGTTGGGGCCCAAACATCCAAATACGGTGCCCACCCTCCTCAAATCTTCCTGCCCCATAGCTCATTGGTACCTTGTAAAAGGCCAGTGGTCCAAGTTTTGCTGTCTCCAAAGCACAGTGAATGACACCCTGAAACAGATAAATACATCAATGCCTCTGGAAGTACAATGGCTCCATCACACACCTTCTACAATGAGGCACTTCATGTCCCAGATCTCCAAACTGGCCACCCCAAGAACACCTGAGTTGGAGTCAGAATTAGGTTTACTTGACTGTGTGGTCTTGGGCCAGACACTTCTTTTTCTTTAGGACTCAGTTTCCTCCTCTGTCAAAGGAGGTGGGTTAGATTAAATGATCTTTTAGGTCCCTTTCAATTCTGATGTTCAATGAGGCTGGCTTAGACACTCCAGGAACTTAGTTCTCTGTAGCAGGTAAACTGGGTTTCTGAGAAGGTAATCGAGGGAACAGTTGGGAGCTATCCTGAAAGTTGTAAGTCTCAAGGACAGAGAAAAGATGGGCAGCAGGATGGCCCACATGCAAGGTGGAAATAATAGATGTTGACATAGTTACCTTATATTCCCCCTTGGAGTTCATCAGACGAGTCTTAAGTACATCTAGCGGTTGGCACAGAAAGGTGGCACACCCACCCTGTGGAGAAGCAAAGTTATGGGTTGCAAGAGAACCTTTCTTTCATGGGTCTTTTCTTCTTGAGTCTCTCAGGGGTCTTGCCTGGTAGACAGCTCTAGTAGACAGTCTGGTATCAGAACAAGCATTGCCTGACTGCCCTGGGATTAACCAACTGAAGAGCCTCTCACCCTTCAGCTGTCTTAGGCCATGGAAGAAATTAACCAGACCCCCATCAAGGCTGCCTGTCCTATCTACTCTCCTCCTCATTCCTCTCCCCATCCGAAGGCTCTTCCAATGGCCACTACGCAGTGCCACAGCCACTCCCAAGTGTTTTTAAAAGCCATGGCATGTTTTTAGTGGCTAATAAAATGCCCCTCTTCTGTGGGTCATTCCACAGCAGAACAGCATCCATGAACTTCAGGGGACCCAAGTGCAAACTGGAACGATAACTTAAAGGTCATGGGGAACTTACAGCAATGAAACTGGACAGGAAGTGGGCAAAGATGTTGTCCGAGATCATTTCTGTGCTGAGGACCAGCTGCTTGACTTGGTCATAGCAAGATAGCTGCAAGGAGTGAGGGAGAAGGCGTGTTAGCGGCTTCAAACCAGCCCAGGAGAAGCATTCTTGCAGGCCCAGAATTAAAAGGAGATGCGCTGCCCCCTAAAGAAGCCTTGTGGGAAGTAGGAAGTGATGCAGTGAAGCCTCTCTCTAGCCCATAACCCATTCTTCCTGCATCAGACGGGTGCGTGTTAAATTAACGCAATTTAATGAACACTGATTAAGTATCTGTGAAAAGCACTGGAGGTGGGGGAGGGGGATCAATGATACAAAGATAAATAGACTCAGTCCCAGCCTTTGAGGAGCTAGGAGAGGGACAGGGCTGTAGGGGCCTCGGGTGCAAACTGGAATGACAGCCTGAAGCTCTTGGGTGTGTGAGGGGAGGGATGAGAGAGGGAGGAATATGCCAAGGTCATAAATATCACGTGGATGGGAGCATAGCATCAGCATAAGAGTCAGGGAAACCTGGATTCAGGTTTTATCTTTGACACACATTGGCTGTGACCATAAGCAATTCACTCAGTACCCCCAGGCAAATAATCTTAAGGACTGACAAGATGCCAATCTTTATCAGTGAAGGGAGTTTCCACACAGATGAAGTCATAAATCCAGCAAGATTAGGGGAAGAAAAGGGGGGGTGGGGTGAGGAAGAAAAGATACAACACATTATGAAAGACCAGGGTCTCTCTTCAACCAAGTGAGTATCAGAATCTCAGCTCTCATTTACTTGATTATAGGGTATTGGACCAAACACTTCTTTTCTCTTGACCTCGGTTTCTTCCTCTGAGTCTGAAAGGTTGGCAAGGATTTCAGAAAGCCAAGGCTGGGATCGGGATGAGGGGAGGAAAAAACGCACTCCAGGTAGGGGTGGGAAGACTGTGAGAACAAAAGCAGAGGCTGAGGTCAGAGAAGAGCAGGGGTAGAACAGAGAGTTTTCAGAAAGAAAACAACCAGCAAGCCTTGCCTCCAGGGACCTTGGGGGCGGAGGGCTTGCCACAGCTGAATTTTGTTTCCCTAGCCAAAGAGCAAGAAAGCTAGCACCCGGAGCTCTCACCCTGCTTTGTACTATCGGACAGTGGCTCCAGGTAGGAGGTGTGCAGCTGAGAGGCCACCTACCTGCCCCACGGTGACAAGAGCCCCTCGGGATGATGCCATCGTAGCTCCAGAAAACAATTTCTTTATGCCTTCTGCAATAGGGGGGGAAAGGACCAGATTAATGATTTCCCTTTAGTTCTCCTTCCTGGTGGCAAGAGACTAGTTTCAAATTCTCCCTTTAGCCCCTGTTTCCCGGCAATCCATCATTCTACCTGCCTGATCTCTGACTCTGAAGCCATTCACTCAGCATACACGCTCGGAGTTTCCTCTAAGCCCGCTGGAACTAGAACCTGCCTGGAGTACATTTGACCATCAACAATTCGATTCCACTAAAAGACTATGTATTTAGCTAGGTAAACTGGACACAAACAAAAATGAAGGGATCTTTCTAGGACCTTACAATCATATAATTAAGAGGCAGCTAGGTAGCAGAATACACAGAGCGCTCCAGCCTCAGATACTTACTAACTGTGTGACTCTGGGCAAAAGTTACTTAACTTCTCTCTGCCTCAGTTTCCTCATCTATAAAATGGTGATAACAATAACAACACCTACCTCATATGTGGTGAGGACCGAATGAGACAACATTTATAATAAGCTTTGCAAATGTTAAAACACCATACGAATGCCAGGTATTATTATTATTGATCTAATAGAGATAGGGAATAATACAATATGGATACAAATAAACATGACTTAAAGTACAGTATGACAGAAACAAAGGAGTGATCTAGGCAAAGTGGTTTAAAAATTAATTATGAAGGAGACTGCCTTCAATTGGAGGGGAAGACTATGGAGAAGAGGGAAAGAGGGAGGGAGAGAGGAAAGGAAGGGAAAGAAGGAAGGATAGGGGGAAAAGAGAGAAGGAAGGAGGAAAGAAGGAAAAGAAGAAAGGACAGAGGGGAGGAAGGAAGGGAAAAAAGGATGGACAGAGGAAAAGGGGGAAGGAAAAGAAGGAAAGACAGAAGAGAGGAAGGGAGGGGGAAAGGGAGGAATTTCAGCAGGCAGTGATGTGGGAGAAGAGCATTCCAGGCACGATAGAAGGCTGTGTGAATTTGTGGGTATAAGGGTGTATAGAACAAGACCAGGGAACTGCACAGGAAGCTGGGGAACCCTATGAAATAAATGGCTCTAGTCAAAGGACCTGACACAATTTTTTTTGGGTGGGGGGACCTTGGGCAAATCATTTAACACTGGTTCTTTTTCTAAAAAAGGTTTTTCTCAGGTTCCTTTTCTAAAACAAAAAAAAAGGGGGGGGGTGGGGGAACTGGAGATTATGGCCTCTCTTTAGATCCATGAACCTATGAAAGGTAGGTTGAAGCCAAACTGTGGAGGGCCTTGAATGCCAGGCTAGAGTTTATCCCATGGAAACCATCCTAAGGCAATAGATTTGACAACTCCCCTCCATTCAGGCCCGGTGACATATAATGTTCAGTGCTGAAAGGGTCCTAAAGAGAAGGGCTGCCAACAACTGACCCAGAACCATGCCACCCACTCTGGAATGGATCTTACCTTCACGGGCTACACGTATAATGCCATCTACAGCGTGGGAGTAGCTATGGGACATAAGACAAGCTCAAGTTAAGCTCCCACTTAAAGGGAATTCCCAAACACTGCCCCCCACCCCCAATGACATTCCTTCCAGACATCTGCTGATCTCCTTGCAGCAATCTTGAACAATACTTGACTCCTCTTCTCAGGTGTCCCCACAGCAGCTCTGGGAAGGGTCTTTGTGGCTCTCCCCTTCCTTCTGTCCCAATTTATCTTCCTCTCCCCAGTCCAATACCTCAAGTCAGAGATTGTTGAGAGTGGGAAGGGACTCCAGAGGCCTTTTGTCCCAGCCATACCTGCTACCAAGCTCCTCTATATCATTCTTGACAAGCCATCACCCAACCTCTAGTGACAGGGAAATGGGCTCACTGCCTCTCAAGGCAATTCATTCCATTTTGGGACAGCTCTAAATGTTACAGAATTTGTGCTGCTGGTATTGTTTTTACACACAAAGATGAAACATATTTCTCTGTTAACTTTTTCAACCACTGGTCCCTGTGCTGCCCACTTGGATCAAGCTAGACAAGTGTCCTCCATTTTCCATATTGACAATCCTTTATCTATTTGAACACGTCAATCACCCTAGGTCTTCTCTTCATGCTAAACAGTCCTTAGTTCCTTCAAGTAGAATTCCTATGACGGTCTTTGCCTGTTGTGTACAGGCAGTTATAGATCTAGATCCAAGAATGGTAATCTCCTAAGTTCCTTCTCATTATACATAGTGAGAAGCCATGAAACACAAACCCTCCTCAGCCACCCTGACCCTCCTCTACTACTCACTTCCGCCTTTGGTGCACAGGTAACTTCATGTCATTCTGCATCCTGAAACCCAAAACCACATAAAGCAATGAAGAAAAGCAAGACCAAAAAAAAGAAAAAAGAAAAGCAAGACCAGAGAGGGTGGGCAACAGACAGGGACGTGATGTGAATTTACCCATTTCTAATAACGCCCTGATTTTTATCCTAAACCTCTGGAAGGTAAGGATTTTCAGACAATTACCAGCTTCTCTTTAAGACTGCCTTCTGACCTAAGATTCATTAGGAAATCCCTTTATTATGGAATCAAGTTATCTCTGCATGCTAAATTTCAGTTAAAATAGGGCAATGAAAGAAAACTGAGTTTGGAGACAGGCCAAAATTTCTCTTTTAGCTACTGTAGAAGGTTACTCAGAAAATTTTTAACTCTGTATTATCAGTGTCTCATACATGAGAGAAGATTGAGGGTTTTTTTTTTTTGCAGGGGTGGAGGAGAGGGCATTGGACAGTAGTCAAAGAAAGTATTCAAAGAGAACTACTGGAGACTAAAACTCACAAAGGCACCAAAAGAACATAAAATTGAGCTAAATGTCAGAACAATAGTTTGATTTAGTAAGAAAATATTCTGTATGTAAAAAAAAAAAAGAATTGCTTTCTGGCTTAGGACTTTCTTGCTATCTGTATTCAGAGAAGAGGGAATCAAATACACATTTGACCATTTTTTAGATTAAACCAGACAAACAGGCACTGGTCTAGTCACATCTTTTGTTTGTTTCTTTCTTTCCTTAACCCTGACACTGTCTCGTGTCCCACAGACCCACTACAAGAAAACTGAGATAACAATAGTCTTAAGGGAAAAGGCTGAATGAAACTGACCAGTCATGGCTGAGAGGCCACACACTTACCTGACGTTCACCATATCTGCAGGAGTCCCCACAAAACCACCAGCAAAACCTGAAAGAGGAAAAGAGAACATGAAACTTCACAACCATGATCTGATATCAGACTCTCACTGAACCATATTCTGGATCCTTCTACTAAATTCGAGTTCCCTTCCTTTTTCACCCACAAATGTCTTTGATAACGCTCTTACCTCCAAGACATCCCAACAACACTTTCTTATAGAAAGGGATTGGCCCTGGTTCCCTGCAGTCAGTCGGTCTCGAAATGACTCGTAGATGGCAAATCGGGTAAGGGAATAGGTCATCTGTGGACAACATCATAATTTAGAACAAAAGTTCTTGATGAAGTATCTTCACACACAGTATAGCTTCATGCTATGATACAAGGTGGACAGGCTACACTTGGACATACAGCCAACAGCCTTCAAAGCAATGGGACAGCCCGCTAGGGCTAGCACTCCCAATCTCTGGGGACTCCAGTTACTGCAATAGCCACACATCCTGCCTTCTTCTTCTGCTTCCCACTCACTCCCCATCTACTGACTTTAGGAAGCTCAGGCCAAGCCCTTCATTCAGGATGAAGTAGATGCTTCTTTGTCCTTCTTCAGTCCAGGTCTCCCTTTGTGACCCCTCTTCCTTTCTAGTCTCTCCACTGTTTTCTCACAGTTGTTCTGGTGAAGACTTCTGCCTGGTAGAGCCTGGGTAAGCAGACTACTCTCCTCATTCCTGGCCTCAGGACGTCTCTGCTTTTGCTAGGGGCCTCTAATTGAGTTAGTTTGTATTCTTAACTCAATTTTATTTTCAGTTCTGAATTCTCATCCTCTCCCCCACCCCCTCCTCCACCCTTTGAGAGGAAAAATACAAAAAATCACAAATATGTATAATCTTGCAAAATAAATTTCCACATTGGCCATGTCAGAGAAAGAGAAGAAAATCCACTTTAATCTGTACTCTGAGTCCATCAATTCTCTCAACGGAGAAGGATTACATATTTTATCTCAAGTCCTTTAGAACTGTGGTTGGCCATCACATTGATCGGAGTTTTCAAGTCTTTCAAAGTTGTTTGTCTTTACAATACTGTTGTTATTGTATAATCCAGTTGGACTTCATATCTCATTTTAATCCCCTGACTATTTGCTTCCCAAGGCTCAAATCTCAATACATAGCCCCAAGGCTCTGGCTGGTATAAGGAAGGCAAAAAACTTAAAATTTTAAAATTCTAAAGTATGCATTTCAACATGACAAACATGGAAATATGTTTTACATGATTGCATATATATATAAGCTATATCAAATTGCTTACTTTTTCAGAGAAGGGAGAGAGAGGGAGGGAGGGAGAATATTTGGAACTCAAAAATTTTTTTTAAATGAATGTTAAAAATTGTCTTTACATATAACTGCAAGAAAAAAATGCTATTTTAAAAATGTGCTACTGCTCACCAGGTCTTAAACTCTACTTTTAGACCTTCATGACAAAGTATGGGACTGGGAGAACATCCTTTCAGTTGGAAGGATTAATTTTTTTAGCCAAGAAAAGGTCAGAAAGGTTGTCCAGTATGGTAGGAGCTCTTCGCAAAGTTTGTATTCTTAAGGTTAATTTTTTTAAACATTTAGCTAAGTTTCTTTAGTTTGTTTAATGAATAAAAATGACTAAATGTTGGCCTTAAAAAAAAAATCCTCACGTGCACACAATCATGAAATGGACAGCAAACATCTCTGCCATGCAAGAGCAAAGAAAGACTCTATGATATCAAACCTTACAGGGATTAGAAAGTGGCCAGTTAAGGAAAGTTTATATCTTCTTTTTTTTTTTTTTTGGCGAGGCAATTGGGGTTAAGTGACTTGCCCAGGGTCATACAGATAGAACGTTTCAAGTGTCTGGTCTGAGACCAGATGTGAACTCAGGTCCTCCTGACTTGAGGGCCAGTGCTGTATCTACTTTGCCACCTAGCTGCCCCGAAAGTTTACAGAAAAAGAGAAAGGAACCTTAATTAACGGCATTCAAAATCAACTATTCTCCAGCTCCTCTTCTGATCCTTGCTGATGCATACATGCACCCATTTTTACCAGTTGTACATAACTGACATGGATGTACAAATTCATGTTCTGCCCCTTTCACCTGACACTTTCACATACTCATGTCAATCAACACAACCTACAAGCTTGGCATTCTGAATAATAAGCTCAGATATTAAAACTGCATGTAGCAAAGGGGCAAATACACATTCACAGGGCAAATACAAAAGAGTGTTTCAGTGCTACGAGTATTGGAGCAGAAAGGCTTCTGAGCCCAGAATAAGCAGAGCCTTCAAAAAAACTCTAAGGAACCATTAAAATGGCTTTTAAAAAGCTAAGTTCAAATGAGTCCAACTATTACAGAAAGCAATTTGGAATTATGCTAAGAAAGTGACTAAAATGTCAAGGACCATTGGCCCAGAGATCCCACTGCTAGCCATATACCATCAATGAAATCACTAATTTTTTCAAAAACTCAGCATATATACTAAAATTTTTGTAGCAACACTGTAGTGGCAAAGGCCTGGAAACAATAGATGGCCATTGATTAGCAGATGGTTAAACAAATTGTGAGACATGAATGCAATGGAAAACAATGATAACCACTGGAAAATAAATTATGTGTAAGAAATTAAATTCTTACATACTGAGAAAAATGATGAACATAATAACTACAGAGGATTATAGGTAGATATATATGAATTGATGCAACATGAAGCAAGAAGAATCAGGAAATAAATGTGTTGAAAGAACAAGGAAACAATCAAAATTGAATGCAGTGTAATTATAATGATCAAGTCTGGCATCAAAATCATATAAGAATATACTTCCTTCCCTTCTCTTGGAAGCTGGGGGGGGGCGGGGTGGGATGTGAAACAATGGATAATTAATTTTGAGATTTCACTGATACAATGGTTAACTTTGCCGAACTGGTTTGTTTATTTTGTCCTTAAACCTTTTAAAAACATATTTCAAGGGATAGTTATCTGGAAGATGAAACAGTAAGGATATAGGGAGAGATATAAAAACAAAAAGATATAAGATTTTTTTTAAGCTATGTTCAGGCCACGAAGGAATGGATATGTCCATAACTTGGAGTAGCTCACACATTAATAACTGACAGAACCTATTAAACTTAAAATTTGCTTCCATCTTCTCCATTAAAGAGAATGACCTTCAGCTTAAATAGGTGAACCAAATAAAGATAAAAAGAAATGAAGAGCCGGCACACAGAAAGTACTTCATAGATGCTGACCAGCATTGCTAAAAGGAGTTTTCTTGACTTACATGAACTGATGCAAAGTGAAATGAGCAGAACCAGGAGAACACTGTATACAACAACAGCAATGATGTAGGCCGATCAATTATGAAAGACTTGGCTATTCTCAGCAATATGATGAGTTGAGACAGTCTAGAAGGACTTACTGATGTCTGAATGCAGATCGAGGCATACTGCTTTTTTACATTCTTGGTTTTTTGGTCTGCATTTTCTTTTGCAATAAGGCTAATATGGAAATATTTTGCATGACTACACACTGCCTTTTCAGGGGGCAGGAAGGGGAAGGAGAGATAGAGAGAGGGAGGGAGAACTTGGAACTCAAAATTTTAAAGAATGAATGTTAAACATTTTTGCTTACCTGTAATTGAGGGGAAAAAAATTACAAAATTTTTAAAAGGAACTTCCTATGCCAATAAATTACAGGTCAGTCCCCATGCCTACTGTTACCAATAAAACAGAAATGACAACTGGTTGAACTTAAAGACTAATCATTAATGTGCTGATGCCTCCTTAGATGTATCCCAAGAATCCACCCTTGAATTCAGGCTGTTAAACATTTTTCTCAATGACTTAGAGGAATGAGGTGAATTTGTGCTCATTCTATATCTGCAGATGCCACAAAGTTGAAATAGACAGGTCATATGTTAGCTGACAGAATCAGAATCCCAAAAGATCTCAATAGACCAAATCTAATAAGATCAAATTTGGCAGGAATAAATACAAACTCACATTCATACCCCAATATTCCCACTGCATGATTTCATCAATATAAGGAACTCCCAGTACGGAACACAAGTCCTCTGCAATTCGGTCTTAGATAGATGCCTAGGGCTTAAATTAAGTGACTTCCTTCCTCCTACTCACATAGCTAATGCATCAGAAGCAAGACCTGAACCCAGTTTTCTGAGTTGAAAGTCAGTCTTCTGGGGCAGCTAGGTGGCGCAGTGAATAGAACTCTGGCCTTGGAGTCTAGAGGACTTCAAATCCAGCCTCAGACACTTAACACTTACTAGCTGTGTGACCCTGAGCAAGTCACTTAACCCCGAACACCTCACCAAGAAAAAAAAAAGTCAGTGTTCTATCAACTAGAATGCCCTTATTTTTTATAAGAGGAAATTCCCTTTTCTTGCCAAACTTTTTTTTTTTGGGGGGGGGAGTAGAAAAGAGGACCAAATGGTATAGGGAAACTCCCTATATCAATGCAACACTGGCCTGGCATATTTTATTTTTAGGCTTGTCTGAGCCACTGAAAAGTTAAGTGAATTGCCTAGTAGTCAGAGGCGGGATGACCTCGAAGGCCTGTGTTCAATGACAGCTCTCTATCTCCTCTCCCAGCACCATCTCTCACTCAGTATCATATGAAAGCAGAGCTAGGATTTTGACTCTAAATTATAGTACTTTTTCCACTGTCACATCATCACTAGAGTGAGTGTGAGTGTGTGTGTGTGTGTGTGTGTGTGTGTGTGCGTATGTGTGTAAAAAGCCAACAGCACTAGGACCATAGCTAGACAACAAACCTGTGTGGAAAAAGACCTCAGGGTTTTGGTAAAAAAGCTTTAAGTGTCAACAGTGCGGTTCATCAAAAAAGTTAAGGAAGCCTGCCCAGAAATGGGAAGGTCAGAGTGTTCTTGTCTCCTCTGCTAACTGGATCCTAATTGGAACACTGGATCCCATTCTGTGTTTGCTACACTTTACGAAGGACTTTGACAAGCTACAGTATGTCCATAGGATGGTGAGGGAATACTAGATGGGAAAAAAAGGGAGATATTTAAGTTGCAGTAGAAAAGAGCTGGGGCATCCCAATCGCTACCTTCAAGCATCTAAAGGCCGGTACCATGAAAAGCTCCAAAGACTTGACTTAGATGGCCCGAGAGAAGTATGAGCCCTAGGGAAAGCTCTCAGAGGCAGCAATTGGCCTCCCTAGCCTCAGTGCCTCTGAGACCATCTCCGATTTGTCTTGCCTGGGTCTTGTTCCTGTTTGTTTGAATGCTGTCCTGCCCGTGGTTGTTTGCACTTTCGATCGATCGAGAGAAAACGTTTTTGTTGGTTTGGCCTTTCCTTGCCTGCCCAGAGCTAGCAAACCAGGACCTTAACAGATGTTTGCTGACACAACCTCACATACCAGAACACATTTCCTAACAATGAGAATCATCACAAACTGCAGAAGACAGCAGTTCCCAGTGACTGCAGCTGTCCAAAGAGGCTGCTAGAGGGGGCGTAGAGGGGATTCTTCATCAGGCATCCTGGGGTTGGAATGGATGATTTCCAAAGTTCCTTTCAGCTCTGCAACTCTAGAAATTATTCATGTCCAAAACAGGGAACAACCTTTCGCAGGGAGAGGCTAGGTTGACTCCTGGTTAGGGACGCTGTGGAAGGGATTCCCAGAGTCTAGACTATCAGAAATCCCCATCAACTTGAGGCGTCTGTGATTTCCTAAGACTGGCTTTAATCCAAGTTGAGCACAAAAGAGGCAGGGTGATTGTTATGCCTTCAGCTCAAGAAAATTCCACAGCTAAAAAGTCACCTCCTACCATGTTGGAGGCCAGCGGATAGGGCACTAAACCGGAGTCAGGAAGACCCAAGTTCAAATCTGGCCTCAGACACTTGCTAACTGTGTGACCTTGGGCAAGTCACTAAATCATTCTCGCCATCAGTGTTTCCCAATCTGTAAAATGGAGATAATAAGATTCATAATAGGACTGTTGAGAGGATCAAATAAGATAACATCTGTGAAATGCTTTACCAATGTTAAAAGCTTCTATAAATATTAGCATTGTATTATTATTCCCATCTTTCCTATTAGCACCACCGACCTGCCGACAGATGGAGGCGCTGATGCCATTGTACAGGGCCAGGAAGCCATCGGTCCGCACCACCTTTAATGCCATGCCCGTCATCTTCATCTCTATCTTCTGCTGTGTCTGTAGATGGACCTGCACAAGTCAAATCAGGAAGCATTTATTAAGCACCTACAATATATTAGGCAATTTAAGTTGCAAAGGCAAACCCCCCCTCCAAGAAAACCCCCAAACCCAACAATGACAACAAAGAATTCTTGTTTTCAAGGAATTCACTGTCTAATGGGGGAAACAACATGCAAACAATTATGCACAAACACAAGAGAGACGGGGTAAATTAGAGGTAATCTCAGAGGGGAACATTAGGGGAAACTGGGAAAGATTTCCAGCAAAAGATGGGACTTTAGCTAAGATCTGAAGGAAGCCAGAGATGAGGAACGGGGGCAAATGCAGAATGGGAAGATGGAGGGTCTGTACAAGGAACAGCATGAAGGCCAGTGCCATAGGATCTCACATACTGGGGGAGAGGTGTTAAGAAGGTAGGCCAGGAGTCCCTTCAGGGCACGAACTGCCATTCATCCAGCCAGCCAACCCCTCCCATGTCCCACCAGCATCATTTCCTTCCACAGCCAGTCCTGAGCTTTCTATCACTACAGCACACCTAATCCCTGCCCCCTTCACTCCAAGGATCCCTTTAACTCTTTGAGCTGCCCCACTGCCTCCAGACAGCCTTTGCTCCGTTTATCCCCACAGACCCAAGCCAGTGATTTCCAGGCAGGTGAGAGGTAATAGCCAGGTTGGGGGATCCATCCAAGGTCCCTACAAAGGTAGGGAGTCACAAGGGAGCACATAAAAGTGGGGACTCCATAAGAGACTGTGAGCAGACTCATTTCTTTTTTCTTTTGGTGAGGCAATTGGGGTTAAGTGACTTGCCCAGGGTCACACAGCTAGTAAGTGTTATGTGTCTGAGTCCAGATATGAACTCAGGTCCTAGCTGTGTGACCCTGGGCAAGTCACTTAACCCCATTGCCTAGCCAACAAATAAATAAATAAAGATAAGTTAAAAAAAAAAAAAGAAGAGTCCAATGGAAGTCAGGAGGCCCTGACCTAACTACCTGTGGATCTCTCAGATATAACAGGACTGCTGTTGGAAATTACGTGCTCCAGAAACAAATGACTCTAGATGGCTCTGACAAGCAACATATCCTTCAGTTACAGAAAGTGATAAATAGCTCCAAGTTCAAAGTCAGTTAACATTTATTGCATATAAAATGTCTACTTATATGGAGGTAGAAAAAGTTACCATAAAATTCATCTGGGGGAAAAAATGTCAATAATCTCCAGGGAAATAATGAAAAAAAGTGGAAAGGAAGGGGACCTACTCATAACAGAACTCAAACTATGCTACAAAGAATGACTAAAACAATTTTGTTCCAGATAAGAAACAGAAAGGTTAATCAGTGGGCCAGATGAGGCAGGCACACAATATACAGAATCAAATGATCGCAGTAACCTCGTATTTGATAAATCCAAAGAAACCAGCTGTCAGAGTAACAATTCATTCACTCAGCAAAAACTGTTGGGAAAACTAGAAAGCAGTCTGGCAGAAATTAGGGTTAGACCAATACCTTATACCATACACCCAAACGGATATATGATTGAAGATATTTTGTTGTTGTTCAACTCTTTGTGACCCCATTTGAGGTTTTCTTGGCAAAGATACTAGAGTGATTTGCCATTTCCTTCTCCAGCGCATTTTACAGAGGAGGAAATGGAGGCAAACAGAATGAAGTGACTTGGCCAGGTTACACAGCCAAGTAAGTATCTGACACCAGATTTGAACTCAGGAAGGCGAGTCTGACTCTAGGCCTGGCATTCTATACACTGTGCCTAGCTGCTGCATTTAAGGTATAAAGAGTGACATCATAAACAAATTAGAGGACCAAGGAGGAAATTCCCTGTCAGATGTATGAACAGAAGAAGATTTCATGAACAAGAGAGTGAAAAGAGGTAAAATGGACAATTTTGATTACATAAAATTAAAAAGCTATTGCAGAAATAAAACCAACACACCTAAAATTTAGAAGAGAAGCTGGCAAATGGGGGAAAAAACTGCAGTAAGTTTCTCTGATTAAGGTCTCATTTCTGTATGTCTATATAGCAACTTTCTACATAGAAGGGATCTTCAAATTTGTAGGAATAAGAGTTATTCCCAATTGATAAATAGCCAAAGGACATGAAGAGACATTTTTCAGAGGAAGAAATCATAGCTATCAATAGCCATAAGAAAAAAATCACTAGTAGAGAACTGTAAATTAAAACAACTCCAAGGTTGCTCCTTATCTGTGATATCGGAAAAACTAACAAAAAGGGAAAATGACAAATGTGGGAAGGACTGTGAGCAAACAGGTACGTTAATTAATATACTGTTTGTACAGGTGTGAAGTGGTATAGCCACTCTGGAAAGCAATTTGGAACTATGCATAGAAAGTTATTAAACTGTACATGCTAGGTTTATAACCCCAAAGAGATCAAGGAAAGAGGACAAGGATGTATATACAAAAATATTTATAGCACCTTTTTGAGGTGGCAAAGAATTGGAAACTGTAAAGGTATCTGTCAATGGGGGAATGGCTGAACAAGTTATGGTATATGAACATGATGGAACACCATGTGCTGTAAGAAATGATGAAGAGGGTGGCTTTAGAGAAACCTGGGAAGGCTTATATGAACTGACAGAGTGAAACGAGCAGAACCAGAGAACAATTCATACAATAACAACAGGACAAAGAAAAACAACTTTGAAGGATTTAAGAACTCTGATCAATGTGATAACCAAGCATGACTCCAGAAGACTCATGATGAAACACACTGCCCATTTCCTGACAGAGGGGTGATGGACTCAAGAGTGCTGACTGAGATATATTTTCTTTGGACGTGGCCACTGCAGGAATTTGTTTTGTTTGACTATATTTGTAACAGGGCTTTTTTGTTTTTCTTTCTTTCTCAATGGGAAAGGGGGGAGGGGGAAAGGGGAGGGGAGAGAGAGAGAAGGTAGATTTTTATTGATCGAAAAAAATAAATTTTTTTTGGAGAAAATAAAAAAGAGATAAACAGAACATGAGGTACATGGGTCTTTACCCAAACCATTTTTCTGAGGAAGATGGGAAGATCACAAGGAAGGCTGCTACTCTATGTCAGGCCAGCCAAGAGTGTAATGCCACCTTTGGCCAAGCTTGACCAAGTGCAACCATAACACCCTCCCCCAGCCAGCAAACTCAGGTCACAAAGCAGGCCTCACACTTTCCCCATTTTATCCTTTCTTCCTTTGAAGGGCTGTGGGGGTTTAAAAAATTATTTTCATTCTGAACTTAAACTACAAATAAAATAGGCATTCATATACAGGGCACACCAGTGAAAGAGGACTGCTTCAGAAACTGCAGAGGTCCATTTTGCACAGCTTACTTTTCTTCTAAAGTCTCAGAATAAATTCAGCCTCACTGGGCTGTGGGTTTTGCTGAAGTTTTCATTCCCCATGCTGGTAGTCTTTTTTTTTTTCCTTAAACCAACTGGACAAATAAACCCTTTTTAGCTCCGAATGAGCCGTAGAAGTGAATACACCCAAACAGAAGTGCACGAAGGGCTTTTAATCACCTTAGACCATTCCCCGCTTCAGTCATTTTGTGGGGCTGCTGCCCTTCCAGTTTCCATGCTGGTCCTTCAGAGACTACGTCAGGAAAGAACTATGACACTCAGCTCCAATCCCCTCCCTTCCCCATAAAGCTTCAGCACTCTGGCCATTCCAATCCACTGGCAGTTCCAAACAGTAATAATAACTAGCAGGTATACAGTGCTTTAAGATTTGCAAAGCACTTTACATATTATCTCATTTTATTCTCACAACAATCCTAGCAGCGGGTGCTATTATTTTCCTCCCATTTTAAGGATAAGAAAACTGAGGCAGACAAAGGTTAAGTGACTGGCTTAAGTCATACAAAATAAGTGTCTGGGGTTGCATGTGAACATGAGTCTTTTCTTCCTGGGGAGGCAGCTAGGTGGCTCAGTGGATATAGTGCTGGGCCTGGAGCTAAGAAGACCCGAGTTTAAATCCAGTCTCAGATACTAGCTGTGTGACCTTGAGCAAGTCATTTAATCTGTCAGCCTCAGTTTCCTCATCTGTAAAATGGGGATAATAATAGCATAGCACCTATCTCCCAGGGTTGTCGTAAGGATCAAATGAGATAAGATTTGTAGAGTACTTTGCAAACTTAAAGGTGCTCTATAAATGCTAGCAATTATTATTACCCTCTGAGACACCAGCTGCTTACCACTGCTTACCTGTATTCCCAGTATCTAGCATACTGCTTAATACTTTTTCATACATTCACGGGTAACACTGCCGGTAGCTTCAAGGATAAGGTTACAAGCTTACAACGGACTGAACATACTCTAACAAGGGTCAGGGATAAACATAAACACACACACACACACACACACACACACACACACACACACACGTTTCAGAAGGGGATACAACTAAAAAGGACAATTTTGTTCCTACCTTCTCAAAACTTAATGCACACTTTTCTCTAAGCACTATAATATTTCACTTTTTAATAGCCTGAGGCAAAGCAACATTTAAAAAATTCATCTTTTATAAAACTGAAAGTTCTGAATACGGCTTATGTTAAACCAACATTCTTGAAATTTCTATGACATTTTATATTCTGAGCAACACGTTTGTCCACAGGTTGAATTAATAATGTAACAAAAGCAGGCATGATGATGGTAAAAATATTATACTCCACTTGGGTAATTGCTATAGTCAGATAACTTTGCTACCTTCAGGTAAATGCATGTTTCCAAAATGCTTTACACCAAGTACGAAATCATGAATCAGGTCAAAAAACATTCGTCCATACAAAGAAACTCATCTTTCCATTTCCAAAAGTTTTATGCAAGTGTGCATATTCTACACAGTTGCTCTTTTCTTTTTCTTTTTTTTTTTTTTTGGTGAGGCAATTGGGGTTAAGTGACTTGCCCAGAGTCACACAGCTAGTGAGTGTTACATATCTGAGGCAGGATTTGAACTTAGATCCTCCTGACTCCAAGGCCAAAGTTCTATTCACTGTACC